TAAATACTGATGTTATGATGTTTATCTTAAAAAGAATCTTGCCATCCTACAGAGAAGCAAAAAAGCACAAATAGAAGCTTATCCAGAAATTGAATAGATCAAAACAATTTATAGCATTCAAGTCACACAGAACGGAAAAAAGGTTACATATTGGATAATGAAACGAACACTAATCCTAATATGTTAGAATTTCATTGATTAAAATAGACATTTTAATCAAGTAGTTGCAATGAATTTTTAATAAAAGTCATCATATAACTTAAATGGAAATGTATATTTTAATTACTAAAAATAAAAATGATCAATTTTAGTGTTTGTCTCATTATCAAATGTATTATATTTTATTCATATTTTTAAGTCTCTCAATGATAATCTTTTTTCTTTTATATATCGAAGACTTTTATTCAATATGATTCATTCTTAAAATAAGTTAAATTCAATAAAACGTCAAAGTTTTAAAGACAAGATTATTTTCAATTGTTTTATGTCAATCAGAACTCTTTAGAAATTTTCTACTACAATGAACTGTTTAGTTTTGAAATTTTTTTTATTGAATTTAATTATTGTTCAACTAAATTAGTTTAATAAAAAAAAACGAAAAGACCTTTCTCTATAAAAGTCAAAGTTAAAAACCTTGAAGAGATTAAAATTTGAAACAAAATAGAACTATTTTCTTGTGAATCGACACTATGAAAGTAGTTGACAGAATAACAAAAAAAAAAGCTGCTCTATGGAGTAGATAAGCAAGGTTTTATGTTTTCTTCAATAGATTCTTCACCCTAATTAACAATTAGTTTTGATAGTGACCTAAATAAAGAAATATGATTAGATTAGAAAATCTTTTGCTGATTATGAATATAAAATAATCACTGTTATACAATATAAATCATTTTAAATCTAATCAAATTAAAACTTATCTCTTAACGAAGAATAAAATCTTATCAACAAAGTTTGCATTCGATAATTTTTTTTTTTTAGTTGTTAACATTGAATTTTTTAGAGTTAGATCAATCGATTATTTTATAGATCAACGAAAGCGAACATGAAATATTGATCTAATTGATAGAGAACATCATTGTGTCAATGTCATAATGATCTTGATTGGGAAAAATACAAGATAATTTATCATAGATTAATAGTCAATTAAGTCTTCTCTTAAATATATTCAATGATTGTATAAAATTTAAACTTATATTCGCATCAATTTATGAATATTAAAAATATAAATTCATTTTGATGACAATCTTTGCAAAGAGTCATATGATAATTGTTTCATTTCATATTATACTATCGAAACTAAAATGTCTTGTCTAATACAGTAGTTATATTGATACTCTTTCAAATGGTATGAAGGAATGAAAATGAACTATGAAAAACGTTGATTCATCCTTTATGTTTATACAATAAAATTTCTCGATCGAGATTTCTTACTAATCAAGTAGGCATAATCATTATTTATTATTTTTAAATAAACTTTTTCAGATTATCGAAATAATTAAATTTTTTATTTAGCTAAGATAATTCTCAAACTGTGAAACAATTTATTAATTAAACACATCGATTTGAAATCTTTAATATATTTTGATATTTTACATACAAATTTTTGAAATACACATCAAGGATATTAATCCACTTATTGAACAAACTGAATTCATAATTTTATTCGATAATGATATTTATCAAAAAATCGAAATAAAATAGATTTTTTATTTTTAAATGTTTAATTTCATTTATGTGATAAATAATTTAAAAAAAAACAAGAAAATAATGGCTATGATAAACTACATAAGAAATAATTCAAAACTATTTAATAATCTTCATCATATAATCTAAACTTAAAATGAGTTGATCATTTTTTTCGAAATAAAAAAAACCACAAAATAACGAAATTTTTCTAATATGAGAAAAATAAAGACTAGAAACTCGTTTTACTGACTAAAACGTGTTATTATCCTTAGAACATGTACAAATTTATATCATAATCTTTAAGCTTTCCTAAAAAATCGATCTTATTTCAGATAGATTCAAGTCGCGTGAATTTTTCATCCATATGTCACGATGCTTTCGAAAGATATTCAACAAAAAACTCACTAAAATAGCTTATTTAGCAACCGAAAATTCTCTGTCTGTTCTCATTCTTGATACTTTTTTTTTCTCGTCTTTCAGAGAATATCAAGATGCAGGATATGATAGAACTCTTTTTTTAGTTTGAACTTCTTACCTTCTATCAGAACAAAACAGATAAAAAACTGAATGTCCTGAAAAATTCTAAAGAAATGACGTTCTAATTATAAATCTACTCGTCTGTTAACAAAGATTAATTCAAAAAAAAAGACTCTTTATCATGTTCTTCACTTGACATACTTCTTCAAACAAAGAAAATCCTATATATATATAATGAAGGCTTGCAACATGTTCTAGATGAAGCAATTAAAAAAGAATGAATAGAAAAAAAAAAAAGAGAAAAAGATTTTCCACTTTTTTTCTAAAAAAAAAAAAAAGTTTTTTTAACCCAGAAAATGTGAGAAATTATCAAAGATTTTTATCGAAAACTGACGTATCAAATAAAAAAATCACGTCGTTTATGAAGGACCAACTAACGAATTATCTTCCCATGTATTATTTCAATTTCAACTTTTTTAACGACAATTAACTCGTTTTGACAGATGGAGGACTTCATTTACGCATTTTTTTCGATCTCTAAATCTATATTCTATCGAGTTAAATCAGTTTAGAGATAAATTATGCGATATATTTTTTTACGAAACTCTGCTAGACATAAACATTGAGTCAAATTAATGAAGGATTATATATGGTCAAAATTGTTGAGAATTCTACTCGAATATAGAACAATTTATATTAACCATTTGAAGATTCTATGTAAATTTTCATAGATTTCTTAAAATAAATAATGACAAGGGTAAATGGTATTTGCCTGGCAAACAATAGAGACAGGATCATTGAGAGTGTGAGTGTGCATTGATATGCTTATCCGTCATCCTCCTACATTAACACTTTCTTATTTAAGACTAATCAAATATTCAGAGATTCGTCAGTATTAAGATCAGAACTGTTCTCATTGTCGAACAATTATTACAGTTTGATGATAATATATTTTCATAAGAAACTTTCAATGAATTTATAAAAAATCATTTGAACTTTTTAAAGCGTGTGAAATAAATTCTAAAATAATGTGTATGATAATTTAATGTTTGAAAATTTTCTTTATACTCGATTAATTCAAATGTAAAATAAACTAAATAACATTTTGTTTAAAAAGAAAAAGATGAGAGAAAAAAAGGAATGTTTGTGTACCATTTGCTAGTCGTTTTAGTCCTAAATGGTTATCAATTTATCTCAAACTTGTATATCTTCTAAAATTAATTCGAATTTTGATATAGTTATTCATTTTGAGAGCATACTCCTTAGAGAATCAAACTAATAATCAACTCGATATATCTAACTAAAATTGTTTATAAACAAAATTTATTAGAGATACTATGAGGAATTTTTAGACGGTGTGAGTGGGCATTATCTTCAGTCACATTCACATCCGATTAGCAAATATAATTATCTCACTTTTATTATGTGAGAAAACTAAGATATGTCAATGATGAAAAGTTTTGAAATAGAATGGTTCAAGATGAATTTTTTTGTTTGTAAAGAAAAATAATTCCATAAAAACACAATGAGCATCTGCAGAATAGGTTCTTCTTATGAAATTTACCTATTGAATAAAATCGATTCATATTTAATTAATTTAGTTGAAAATGACTATTCATTATTAATTAAATCATTATTTGAAGTAATAAACGACGTTTTTCTTTGTTCGTTTTTTCACACAATTTATTTCATAAGATATTTTCAACAAATTAAAAGCTGTACAAAATCCATTAAAAATATTTGTTTCAGTGATAATTTTATTTGTATAAATATAGGCTCGGTAAAAAAAATTTTAAAGTATTATTGTAAGAGTTAAGAATATGAAAAAGTAAGTTAGTTATAAAATAATGTTCTTCAATAATAGATTAACATCGACAAAAACAGAGTTTAGTTTTTATCATAATTTTCCTAGACGACGTTGGTGTCTTGCCACTGAAATGGCATTATTTGGATTAAACATCTTGTTCAATTGTGTAAATGTAATAAACATACCGATTGCCTGTAGAGGAAGAATAGCTGTATATGTAGCAATTGTCATTAAAGTCACAGATTGTCTACATGCTTCTTCCTATAAATAAAATCAATTCAAGAAAAAAAAATATATGAATACTGAGAATGGAACGAAAAAATTTATAAAAGCTTTTGGATCCATTATTGAAACGTCACTAAGTAAAGGAGTTGATGTACTTGTGGTAGCAGTTGTAGCAGCGGAAACATATGAATTCATTAACTAATTTACTAAAACCAAAATAGTCGAATATTACTGGATGTAGAGGTTGTACTTGTCGTAGACTCAGTAGTAGTTGTCATTATAGGATTGGTAGTAGTAGTAAGATGAACACCAGTGGTTGTTAACTTTAATTAACATAATACTATTTGTTACTATACGAACATTTATCAGAGTAAATTTTCTAGAATTCCTTCCATCCTTATATAAATAATATAATCATTGATTCACTTTATATCTTCTATTGATTTATAAAAATTGCTTAAAGAAAAATTCAGATCTTTTCAGAAAACTTAATTCTATCTTAAGGAAAATATCATGTTAAAATTCATATTTTTTCTATTTCAATCTCTACTAGCATAAGCAAAAACCCATATTAAAAATGACTATAATTCAATTTTGACAAAATTCAAACAAACTATTCTTCTTGCAATCATTTTTATTGTTCGATATTCTATTATATCCAAAGTTGATGAAAAAATTTGAGGTATCCTCTTATTAAGAGTGAGATATAGCATTTTACCAATGTATTAACAGTCGTTGTTGATAACGGTCGAGTTGTTACAGTTCCTGTCGTTGGAGGTGTTGTCGTAGTTGTTGTTGTGCTTGATTAACCAGGATCCCATATATTGAAAGTCCAAAATGTTGGATCAGCTATTGGAGCTGATTCAGAACCTTAACGTATGAAAAACTCAAATATTGTCATATCTAATAAGTTAAATGCGAAGAAAAATTGCCAAACATACCACAAAATTCGATTCCACTGACCACTCCTGAAGAATTGTAAGATAATAGTAGAAAAAGAAAGAGTTATCATCTATATAAACTTACCACTATCAAAAAGAACATAATAACTACGTTCTGGAATCCATGAATAACTGGTTATGATACTGCTTGTATTTCCATAATATAATATATTTGGTGCCCATCCTGCATCAAATACTCGTACTGATGTATTAGTTGAAGCATCTATAAACCTTATGTAAGTTCCATTTCGAGTCGAACGATGAACATCACGAGTAGCTATCAATAGATAAAGAAGATTTTTCTATACATTTTAAAAATTTTGTTTATGAATAACAATATTATTCTCATTGAGCTAGAAAAATCAAGTAATAATTATTTATCAATTTTTATTCACATTTTTTCTTTCTATTAAATATAGCATCGTTCTTATTTAATTATAAATTATTGATTACAAATAATAATAATCTATTGAAATCAAAAAAAAATCTTTTTCTTTTTATTTATTTACCTTGTATGGAAAAACTGAGTGATTTGAAAAAATAGTTCCTATTGGTGAAGCAGTGCCTTGAACAACTACTGTTCGGATAAGATCTGGTGAATCGAATCCAATTAAATAAGTAACACACCAAGCATCTGATTGCAAATTACTGTTGTCAACAGCACCAGCACAAAATCCTTGTGGCAGAGCTGGAACCGGTAAGAAATCGAAAAACTGGTCCGGTTACAGAATGCTCTTGAACCGGTGAAATTCCGGCAAACCGGACAGCATACCATATAACTGACTGCGTCGAAATCGTCCCAAACACCGGAAAACACGTGGAGAAACGACGAAGTCAGATTCTACTCTTCACAGGATAGATTCAGACAGATTACGATTTTAAGTTTTCTCATTGGATCCTAAGAAAAGTATTTAGAAATATAGTTTGAAGAATTTCAATTCTTGACGAAGTATAATTAAAACCTGGCGATTCTAGAAAAGATATGCCTAATGTTTGCGAGTCATGGAGCATTTTAATTTTGTGAATAAGATCTCGAGAGTATGATGCAGTTTTGCGTGATCGTATCTATTGTTTCTTGGTAAATTTACGGACTTAAAAGGATATGCAAAATCGAAAATTCGTTTTTCAGTACTCTGCTTTTCTAGTATAAGTTATGGTTGTTCATGCTTTATTATCAAATCATCTTTTCATCATTGCTCATAAAAACAAAAGATAAGATATACAACAATATACAATCATATTGAAAAAAAATTATCAATTTTATTCCAATGTTAATAATAATAGTATTAAGATTCTTCATTAGATAGTGGGATAGTTGGCCACATCTTGTTGATGTATGCTTCTTTGAGCACTACAAGAGCTTCCACATATTCAGGATCAAGTGAACTTCTAAGTTCGGTCACTATTTGACCTGCCATAGAAAAGTGACGTTCACTTTCAGCTGAAGAAGCTGGAATCACCAACACAGACTTTGCAATTTTGGCGAGCAGTGAAAGATCATCTTTGTGACTGTACCAAAATGTGAATGGATTGTTGTCGTAACCGTCATCAACTTCCATATTTTCGTATATTTGAATTTGTTGATCTAATTCTTTTGCAAATGTATTTGTATCATGAATTGATGATTTTTGTGTACTTTTTTTATTACGGAAATCAGCAAATGGATCATTTTTAATATGTTTTGATGATGTTGATGGTGAAGTACTTGATACATGTTGTGATTGTGATGAATGAGAACTGTCGAATTGCTGGATGATATCAGACGCAAGAATATGAAGACCTTTTCGAACTTCATTCTTTTGTGTTTCCAAATATGAACGATCTGAAACGAAAAAAAAAAGACTTAAATGATGGATCTAAATACGTACCAACCCAATGAATCTGTAAAATCGGAGGTAAATATTTTTCATCAAGACAATATCTAATTTCAGATTTCAATTCTTTGATTATTTTATGATCATTCGCATTAATTTGAGTGCCGTTCATCATACGATAATAACTGGGCACGACATTTTGCAATGTCGGCTGATTGGCCATTTCGAGTTTGTCTAAAATCATTGAAAATGGTCGCATTAATTGAACTATTCCATTCAATAGAACAGGATCGATGTTGAATAATCGGTATTGTTCTTGTCTGTCACGTAGTATAGTATTGAGTTCTTCAAAAGAATCATTTAACGAATCATGAATGGTAAAATATGATCGCCAAGGGCGTGTACCACAACCACCTTTCAGTGTCTTTGCTAATTTATCCTGAATACCACTCGTTTGATTGGTATACTTACGTAATTCACGAACTGCAAGATTGAAGGTTGCAAACGTTGGATTTTTTGCATCTTCTCTACTCCAGGCTGTCTCAATAGTAGTATTACATCGGTGAGCCATGCATGGAATACGAGCTTCCTGGGTGATATTGAAGGCCGCAACCATGTTACTTCCTTGATCTGTGACGATCGGGGTATCGCCAAAAGATAAATTAAAAGATTCAAAAATGTATTTAATTTCTTGCCAAATATTCATACTTGTTTTACTGTCTTCAGGAAAATGCTTGCATCTTAGTAAGCAATGAAAAAGTTTATACTCGTCATTGGTCCAGAAAATCAAGAAATCAAGATAAGAACGTTTAACGTAATCGTCAGTCCACATGTCACATGTAGCTGCAACACAATGATTTTTAATTGGTTCAACAAGAATTTGTCGAATTGTAGTTGAAAAATGGTTGAATTTGACCATGCACTGTAAACTAGAAAATGAGTTATAGAGTTTAATCAAGGATATTCTAGGAATGCCTATATGAATTCGCCGATGAATTTCTAAATTCTTGAAAATAAGATATTCGAAACATTAAAAATATGAACTTTGATTTTCTAATTAGAAAATCAAGAGTGAATTCATATAGGCATTCCTAGAATTTCGGATTCGATATAGCAATTCGAGCATATTCTAAAAACTAGAAAATCAAATTTGATTTCCATATCATGATCAAGTATCTTTTATTTATTTTATTTCATGAAATAAAATAAATAAATAATTTTACTAAAGGAAAAATTCATTTGATGGAACCATTCATTAATATCATCGTAAATAAACAATTAAATAATCTAATTTAAATATAAATTCATTCAACTTTATTCATTCACTATAATATCATTGTAAATAAATAAATGAATAATCCAACTGAAATAAAAATTCTTTATTTAATCATTCTTTAATGTCATTGCAGATGGATAAATAAATAAATGAATAATTTAACTAAAATAAAAACATTTCATTTCAATCATTCATTAATATCATTGTATATAAATAAATAAATAATTTACTTAAATAAAAATTCATTTCATTTCAATCATTCTTAATGTCATTGTAAATGAATAATTACATAAATGAATAATTTAATTAAAATAAAAAATCATTTCGTTTCAATCATTCATTAATATCATTGTACATAAATAAATAAATAGATGAATAAAATAACTAAAATAAAAAAACATTTCATTTCAATGATTCATTAATATCATTGTATATAAATAAATAAATAATTTAACCAAAATATAAATTTATTTCATTTCAATCATTCTTAACGTCATTATAAATGAATAATTACATAAATGAATAATTTAACTAAAATAAAAAATCATTTCATTTCAATCATTCATTAATATCATAACACTTCATAAAAAGAATATTGATTAAAAAAATTTTTAGAAATTTTTCTTCTATCTCTTATGAGGAATAAAACTGCATGATTAAAAAATAATTGATTGTGT